GTCCTTGTGCTGCGAGAAAATGTCAGCCAGTTGACTTAACGATGTCTTCAGCTGGTGAGAGCAGCTTTCGCGATAATAATCATATTCGAAAGTCAATGAAGGCGCATTTTCGCTCTTATCTTCGGAATCATCCAAGAAAAAGTCTACGAATTCTTCAAAACAAAGAAATCTTATGGGGGTTAATTTTCTCTGCGTCTAGTTTTCTGGGGTCATCCACACCAGTATGGCAGCGATCGTGAGCCCCACGGTGGCCAACCCGCATCGTAATTCTCTTCTTTGGTTAAATGCTAATTTGGGTCCCTCAACTTTATAAGTTTGCATTTTTTGGTCCCTCAACAATTTTTTGCACTTTTTTGATCCCTCAACTCTAAAAAATGCACAACATTGGTCCTTCCCTTAATTGGGGCTGTTAACTCCATCCACATGCAATTTTTTATATTTTTTTGATGACATGAAAAAAACAACTTAAAATGGTAATGATATGGACAAAACATTATTCATTAAATTAAAATAGTTTTAAAATGACAATTTAACCCTTACTCCATCTTCTACCTTTGGTCTCCTCTTTGTTTCCGACTTACCTTTCTCCATTCTCCACTGCTCTATTTCTCTTCCTCCTTCTTCTTCACCTTTCTCCATTCTTCACTGCTCTCTTTCTCTTCCTCCTTCTTCACCTCTCTTCAGCTCTTTACCCAGATTCGGGTTCCACAAAACCCAATGACCTGGGTTCATTTGAACCCAATTCTGGGTTCCACGAAACCTAGAAATTTAGGTTCGTTCAAACCCAAATCCTGGTTTCGTGGAACCCAGTGATCTGGGTTCATTCAAACGCAGAAAACTGGGTTAGTTTGAACCCAGATTTGGGTTTCGCAGAACCTAACGATCTAGGGTTCATTTGAACCCAGTTCTGAGTTCCATAGAACCCAGCAACATAGGTTTAAGGAACCCGAATTTCTGGGTTTTCAAACCCATGTTTATAGATTTTTTTCTTTGTTTGATGGATTTTTGTTTCGAATATTGTGGTTGTGGGATGGCAATTTAGTATTATGAATGCTGCAAAATTTTATTTATATGTTTTGGTTTGGCTATTTCTCTTGTGAATATGTGATCATTAAGCTGGATTGAAGTAGTATGAATTTTCAAGGTTTTGATTTGATTTTATTGCAGATTAATCATCGGTGTAGAAAAAGAGAGAAATTTATTAAATCTTGGTTTTGGTCTTGTTGTCAGATTTCATTTTGATTTTGTGCAATCAAAAAGATTATGTTGGTTTAGAACAAGTTTAATTATAATTAATAGTTTTAATTATTTAAATTAATGAGTGTTTAATCTTAATATTACCATGTAAGCTTTTTCTTTTTGGTTGGATTATCCATGTCAGCACCTTTTTAAGTTGTGCTCTCCATGTCATAAAAAAATATTAAAAATGCCACGTGGACAGAAATAATAGTCCAAATTGACAAAATGACCAACGTTATGCACTTCTTAGAGTTAAAGGATCAAAAAAATACAAAAAAAATTGTTAAGGGACCAAAATGCCATGTGGACGGAGATAACAGCCCTAATTGACAGAAGAACCAACGTTATGCACTTCTTAGAGTTAAATAATCAAAAAAATGCAAAAAAAATTGTTAAAGGATGAAAAAAGTGCAAACTTATAAAGTTGAGGACCAAAATTAGCATTTAACCCTCTTCTTTTGCTTTTTATTTTTTTTGAGAGTGTAATTGCGCGAAATAGTTTAAGTGATGAACGAAAAAACATGATTGCTCCAACAACGAACTTTGACCGGAATACTTGCAAAATTCAATATTAGACTTCAAGCTAGATACTGTAACACTTAAATCAATAATATTTAGTTTATTTAAAGGGAAGTTCTATAGAGAGAAATAGAAATAACAAATGCATCTTAAACGTGGTAGTTGGAAAAATATTTATAGCCTTTTTAGGATTGCTTTCCACATGATAAATTCCCCTTCGTTAACTTTGAACCACTATCTTATTAAATAAATAAATAAAACAAACTTTGAACTACTACAATCTATGGTAGTTTTATGGAAGTCAATGAAATGCATTCGCCATCAGGGCATTTAAAGGCAATGTCAATTGTGATATCATCTGTCAGAAACGAAGTTGACTGGAAGTGGGGATGTTCAGCTGATCGGCCGTGCATCCAATGGATATGTGTTCGGCCATTCATCTGAAAGCAATGTTCGGATTAGTCCCTCACACTTCTGTTTCGCTAAGGTGATTTCTTTGAGAGAGAGTGA